TACCTTATGGTAAGTTTACTCCAATATGTAACCATTGTATATGCCTGGCAGATATGGAGAAGATTGATAACAATCCCTCCATCTTAGTGCCTGAGGCAACTTTTCCTTCTAGACCTTCCTTTCGTTTTTTAGTAATTATTGTGTGTCATTCTACTATTTACCAATATAATAAATAAATTCTTTTTTTCAGAGGAAATCTTCCTTAGTCCCATCTTTTCAAAAAGGAAAAATAATTCAAAACGTCCCTCGCATTTTGCAAAATGACTTTTTTCACCCCTCACTTTTAAAAGTAAAATTTTACATCTTTTATAAATTTACATTGGTCATTTTTTGTTCCTATCTAGGTTTTCGACTAATTTTTTGCTGGAATTCATCATGTGCCTTACACGTGATCATTTTTGGCGGGCAAAATTATCAAATCAAATTTCACATAATCCAATCCATAATCCCTCATATTTTATAATACGAATTTTTTCATCTCTCATGTTTCACAAAATGAATTTTTTCATCATTTATTGATCATGTGTATGAATAATTTTGTTTTTTTAAACCCATGTATATATCTATTTAATTTTACCCCTCATATTTCACAAAATAAATTATTTTATCCTTCCCATTTCATGAAATGAATTTTTCATCCTTCGTTGATCATGTGTATGAATAACTTTCTTTTTAAACCTATGTATATATCTATTTGATTTCACTTGAATAGTATGAATAGTATGTAATATCTCTAACTTAAGCAAGAGGGTTCGAACTTGAGACCTCACAGATACACTCCCTCCCTCGTACCACCTAACCAGTTTGTTCAGGTGAAATTAAATATAGAGATATTACATGTTCTTTGTACTATTCAGGTGAATCAAATAAACATATACATGAATTTTCATAAACAAGAAAAAACTATTGGTACGCATGTCACAAAATGAATTTTTTCATTCCTCATTGATCATATGTACGATCAAAATTTTTTTTCTAAATCCATGTATATATTTATTTGATTTCACCTAAGCAGTACGAATATCATATAATATATCTCTATTTGATTTTAATTACAACTACAATTAGTTTATTTAGATGAAATCAAGTAGATATTACAAGTGAATCAAATAGACATATACATGAATTTTCATAAACAAGAAAAAACTATTGGTACGCATGTCACAAAATGAATTTTTTCATCCCTCATTAATCATGTGTACGATCAAATTTTGTTTTTCTAAATCCATGTACATATCTATTTGATTTTACCTGAACAGTACGAATATCATATAATATATCTCTATTTGATTTTACTTACAACTACAATTAATTTATTTAGGTAAAACAAGTAGATATCTATTACATACTATTTATACTGTTCAGTTGAATAGGATGCCATCTCCCTAAGAGGTATGTTATGATTAGGGAGGGCAATTGCAGCTCTGAACTTTAAAAATCTAGGAATTTGACTAGTAAAAGTTTGGAATTTTTTTAGTTTGTCTTATATTTGCACCCTTGAAATTTTTAAAACCTCCTTTACCCTCTATATTGTCCTCACTAATTTTTCTTGAATTCCTTGATTTACTTTTATAATATTGAAAATTTAAAGCACCGCCACTTGAATAGGGACAATACGAAAATCTTTTCATTTAGCTTCAATGACAACTAAAAATTATTTTGTTTGTTTATATAGAAATGCATTTGTCATATTGCACCCTTATTAAAACTATCAACCCAAAACTAAACAAACCTAAAACTAAGTAGTGACGAAGTACTCTTCAAATTTGGTAGCTGTGAAACTCCGGAAATCAGAGTTGCATCTTCTTCGCACAAATCATGTAGAACAATGAGTTGAAAGAGAACTTCAACTAACCAATCACGCTTCAACTTACCAATCTCTCTGGATTTTACCGCCCCGCGAGTAGTTGCACTGGTTCTATAACCTGGTAGTTACCAAGATCCCGTACTGGACCCCTTTGCGTTATCTCGTTGTGTATTCTTAGGGCAAGGTTCTACACTCCTTTAAGGAATTAGTCTAAACAAAAGATTGGGATGCCCCTAAGTAAAAAAAAAAAGTATGCTGGGCTTCAATAGCACCTTTTCAGAATTTTTCTATTTGTCTACCGTCATTTCCCGGGCTTTTCTCATCTTTTTTTTTTTTTGTCAGCAACGATACATTTGTATAACCTATTCTATCCTAATCTAGGGGGAGGGGGAGCCTAAGGAGGTTGTGGTAGGGGCTAGTGGATATACGGACCCAACTAGACCAAGGGAGTGCTATGGCACAATCCTTAGATTTTTTTCGCTGCTGGTGAGGTTTGAACCCTCACCAACGGCCCAAGGAGGGACTTAAGTCCCTTCCTGGTGGCCACTGAACCATTGGCCAGTGGTTTCCCGGGCTTGTCTCATCACTCTTGGGTATTCCTTAATCTTAGCAACATGACAGGAGATTGCAAAGATCACCTCCAGATCCTCTACTTTGTAGGACTTTACCAATACGAGCATTTTTTTTTTATGGCTATGGAAAGATGATTTAGGGTTAGCGTGACAGCTAAAAACCTAGGTCGAGCACCTTTCCTGTTTTTGTTACCAGCAAACAAGAATTGTCTTCTTCCTCCCATGGCGAGTTATTCAACAGAAAAAGAATATTATGAATACAAATAATTAAATTTACTTAGCCGATGGTGAAAAGATAATTATTTCAACATAGTATCATTGATATTAAACAATGGTAGAAACTTGATATTTAGGGATTCTAAAATGGTTTCTTGACTATATATTACATTTATTAAAGAAAATTAATACATTAAATTTGTCAAGAAAATTTTGTAAGGATTATTGTAATTTTGATTTTAATGAGATTTGTTAGGAAAAAAAAGGCTTGTGTGGTAGTGGAGGATCAACTAAATTACATGTATTTTTAATTAGCATCATTAAATCCGCCACCAAGAAATTGTTTTTATGTTCATTATGACTAATAGTACAAAATGGTGCAAAATTGTCTAATAAAATATGGTACTGAGTTCATCCGAAAATTATTTTGCAAATTGTACAATCTATTATAAACACATAAAATTATTTTGACTTAATTGTTTTTTTAATTTACTCATGCCTAAGTAAAGTTAGCTATAATATGGGTGAGTTATAGGAGACATGATTTTTTATTCTTAATTGGAAATAGATATCTATATTGCATGTAAAAGGGAGATATTGAGGAGGTTTTGGTTTAATGGTTGTAATTGAAACATCAGTACTTAGAAGTCCTAGGTTCAATCTCCTTTTGATGTTATATTATTTTGTGTCCTTGTCATAGAGGGTAAAATGATCCAATCACTAAAAAAACAAAAATACAACTTTTCTTTTTGGTGTCATATCATTTTGTGTCCTCATCTTTTTTTTTTTTTTTTTGGTCAATACGATAGTTTCTATACTATGGGGATGGGAATGGCTTAAAGAGATCTTAGAGTAACTCGGAGGAGACTGAACCACCACCGGATCAGACGGGTACATTACGCACCCGTTTGGATTTTTTAAGCAAGGCCACATTTAATTGTGGCAAATTGGTGGGAGGTCTTCCACCCCACCAAGCCTTAATGCATTGGTGGTGCCTGGGCTGGTGGTTTTGTGTCCTTATCATAGAAGGTAAAATGATCCAATCACTGGAAAAACAAAAATACAACTTTTCATTTGTGTTTTACATTTTAAACTTTTTTATATTTACCTACCGATTAAACATCTTAACCGCTCTTTAACTTTAGTCCTCTATTCAATAAAAATACTTCTTAATTGTTTTATAATGACCCTAACTTATATTTTCTATTTGGCCTTCAACTTGGTGGTGATTTTTGTGCCAGAAATATTCTAATTGATAATGCTAGGGGCGGGCACCTGCTCGTGGGGGTCTAATGGGGCGGGACGGGGGAGAATTTTTTCTCCCGTTAAGAAACGGCGCAGGAGGCAGGGGTATACTCCCCTACCAGCCCCCGTTTAAATATACATATATATATATAGTTATATATTTATATGTGTATATATAATATTTAATTTAATTAGTTACAAATTTATAATAATGATATTATTAGTTATAAGTATTATATAATGTATATTAGTATATATAATATATTTGATATTATCAATTATACTAATAATTATACATGTCTACTAATAAAAATTATTAATTAGTTATACTAGATTTACTAATACATTTATACTAAATTCCTAATTACACTTAACACAATAACACTTTTTTCTCAAAGAAAAAATAATAATGATTTAGTGATTGTATTTATTTCAAAAGTGAAAACTTGACTATTTTAGTTGTATTTGTTTCATCATGTTGGATTGTATTCAAATAATTTTTGTTTGATTATTTTTATGAGTTTCAATTGTAAATTATAATGGATAATGATTTGGTAATATATTGATATTTTAATACTTAATTATTTGTTAAAATTTAACTACAATAAAATTATATCACAAATTTTTATTAACCCCATAGGTGCCCCCGTGGGGGAAGTTGGCCGAGGCGAGGGGAAGTAGTGGGCAGCGGGGCTTTTCTGTCCCAAATCCGTTCCGTTGTCATTCCTAGATAATACTGCCAAAAAAGGGTTAAAATTGGCAACTAATTAACTCCGTTTGGCAAGTGAGTTTTTTAGGTGTTTGTCTAAAACTTTATTGTAGCTTAGTGTAGAAGTTGTAGAAAATTTTTTTGAAGTGTGGAAATTTTTGGATATTTTGAAATGTATAGTTTAAAAACTTTAAGAAATTTTGAAATATATAGTTTAAAAACTTTGAGAAATTTTTTGACTATAACTTGTATCAGACAAACTTGATAAAAAAACTTTTACTTGCCAAACAAGGGCATAATATTCGGCTAAGGGACTAAAAACACCTAAATAAAAGATAGAGGACAAAATTGAGGGACTAAATTGACCATTTACCAAACGAAAAAGGTGAAAGAAAAACAAACAAAGGGAATGAAGAAGAATGACTAGGCAATTATGCTAAAAATGATTGGACCAGCTATGAAAAGCTTTGCTGGAAACCAAAAAATTTTCTTCCCCTTTGTTTCTTGAATTCTTGTCAGATCTCCTAAATCATAATCCAGACTATCAAAAATCCCACCAGACCTCTTGAGATTTTCCCTCCTTGCTCCCTTGTCTTCTTCACTCTATGGAAGGCAGGAAGGCAGAATTTTTGTTGACTAACCGGTACAAGTTGATGTTGCCTTGCAAAATCTTGACATGGGTTATATTGTTTCTGCTGATATTTCCCAGCTTCTTTCAGATATCCCATTCCGAGCTGGATTCCTATAGCCTTTTAGCAGCAAAGCGAAAACGAATGAGTGAAAAGGTTCGCAAAATGTAAGCTTTTAATCCATGCTCAACGACCCTTTTCTCCAAAAGCGGCCATAATAAAATGTTAAACTGATGACCCCTTATCAAATTTTGTACAATCTAAGCTGTTTACCTGTTTTAGTTACTAGAACAAACTCTTAGTGTTTCTGGGTATCTGTTATTCATGTAAGGTGGAGAAGTTTACTGTTTAATTGGTTTACTTTTAGGAGATCATATTCAGCTTTCCATGGTGGACCAATTTGTCGTGATATTTAAAATGAAGATTTTTTTTTAAAATCATGAATGTGCTGGAAAGTCATGCGGTAAGTTTTGGATTTTGTTTGTAAAAAGGATGAATACTATAGAGTGCTATTGTATTACCATGAATTTTTTTGGATGGCCAGCCTTTTTTACGGGACCATTATCTACATGGAATGTTTTTTGTTATGCTTGATTTATTTGCATATGTGTTGAATTGTCAATTTATTACATGAAATTTCTACTGATTGTTTATAGATTACCTCATGTTTTCATCTGTATGCAATTGACCACAGGACATGTAGTTTCTGAATGTGATGATTCTGATGATTGTCTGACCTAGGCAAATAAGATGTTTCAAGAGTTTTGCCTACGCGAGTTGTTAGAAATTTGCATGAAGCAATTAAAGGTTATGGTGCACAAGTTGACGAAACTGGTGGCTATGGTACCTTGGATTAATTGGATTCCCATATAAATTTATCTTGACTTGGTACTACAAATCTAACTGCTAAGCTGTTTTCTGGGAAAGGATTTTGCTTGTATGCTTTTGGACTTGGACATTGTTCATGACTTGGCTAGAAGGAGGCTATAAGATGTGAAGTGAGATAGTTTGTCCGGAGGTCCTTAGTCATAATTGCCATAAGTTCGTGACTCAGAAGCACAAAACACATAGAGCTTTGATGTTGATAGTGGATAAATCTCCTTTCATCTAGTACATCTAAGATGTGACAGTTTAGCACGAAGTAACCTTACAATCATGTTAATGTTCACTTGGCTGGCTGATACAGAATATGGAATAGGTGGTAACTCTTACATGGTTGCCTCAAAAAGCTTAAAGAAAATCATTAGGGGTGCTATGTAGTTATCTGCATATGTTTGGGGCTTTTAGGACAATGACACAAGGAAAATACATTGATTTCCGAAAATTTAATTTCTTCTGGAGGTATCTTTGCAATTGCAGACTTCTTTACTCTGGCAGGAGCATCCCTCTTTGATTTCATTCCTGGTATTACGATAATGACAGTGCTATTTCCTTTCATGCTTTCACAAGGCAGTGGATTTGCGGAATATAAAAGCAGCAACTTGTTGGCTAGCAGCAGGTTAAATTTTGTCGGGAAATTGAAGTCTCTTTTACATTGTAACTTGGTTTCAGGAGAATCTTCATTTACATGGGTATTAATCAGCAAAGTTAAGAAAAAATAGCTTGAGTACTGCAACAGTTTTTCTTACATTAGAGAAGCAACGATTGTAAAACCAACTTCAGCAGTTCCTTTCATGGTTCTTGGTTGATACATTCCTATTCAAAAGAGCATTTGCCAAATGCTGTTTACTAGTAATGGTTTGATCCTTAATTTCTATGCATATGTTGAGCTATTTGAGGAGTTTATTGCGAATAATAGTCTTTTATATCTCTCTTTGTTTGTATGTTGAAGAAAAACTTGTGAGAATGAAAAACAAAAATTAGAATGGGGGATTGAGAGAAATATGTGCATGAATATCTTAACATTTTGTGGCATGCAGTTAGTAAATGGTATAATTGTTTACTTCTGGATCAGGTTTTACCATGCTTATGACAACTACATGACCTATGCATTTCCGGTGAGTTTGAGCTTCCTTTTCCTGTATTCTTAAGGCACATGTCTTATGACTTTGGTATAGTATGATGGACTCTTGTGTGAAGTTCTATCCTACAATGATTGATTTCGAGTTGTTTTCCAGCATGATGAGCTGAAACCTCTGACCAAAACTTTCACAGATTCGCTTAGTGAGCTTGGAAATCTGAAGGTAATTATATTTTGTGGATGCCTGTCAAAATAATGTGGAAGCAAATCTTAACTATATCTACTCTCTCCTTTCAGCTGGAATATCTACCAGAACAGTACAAAGGATCAGCTCTCTCACTTATAGAATCATTATCCAGGTTTGGTAATATCCTTGCCTGCCAAATTTTTGATGGCAATGGCTGGTGATACGTTCTTATCTTTTAGGTCCTTAGGCTGAGTTTTTTTCTTGTTAATTATTTAATTTTTTTCCATACATTCGTAGAGCTGGAAATATGTTATGCTGCCTAACTTTTCTGATTTTCTTTGTTGTCTCAGCCTTGTTGTCCTGGGTAACCAAACTGAGTTTGAGAAAGGAGTTTTTTGGCTGTCTGAAAATCTGACATTTGATGTTGATGCAAGGATAAATCTTTTTGAGGTGACAGATTGCTTGCTTCATTTATATACCCAAATTGAGTTACAGTATTGAAGGAAACTTGATTTATCCTAGCCTAATGCTGGACGAAATCAATAATTTGACCATTGATAACATTATTTTAAAGTTTCGATCACTCAATTAAGGACAATATCTATCTTGGATTGAGTTCCAAATGAAGTATTTTGATACTTGTCTTTCCTGTTGATTGCTATTCTGTAGGGCAACATAAGAGTTCTTGGAGGACTTGTTTCTGCTCATATACTTGCAACTGATTCTACAAAAAACAGGTTAGTTCAAGGAACTTATAAGAATCAGCTCCTTGATCTGGCTGAGAATTTGGGAAGGCGCTTTTTACCTGCATTTGATACTCCAACTGGATTGCCATATGCTTGGATTAATTTAAAGGTATTTCCTACCACTCTGCTTCAAGTACCTTAGTTGCTCACTTCTTTTGTTAACTTACGGAAAATAATCTGCATAATATTGAAGCATTTGTCAATACCTTTGGGCTGAATTTCGGTCTAAAAATCTTTGTCACCTCCTGTTATCTGGCCTGTATCTTTTGTTTTAAATACAAAAAAAAAAGGAGTTGAGGCATGTTTGATTGTATAGTATAAGTTGTTTTAGCTTGAGGGCTTAGGTTTTCAACCTTCTGTTGCCAAATCATCAGGGCTTAGATTTTTAATCTTCTACTGCTAAAGGGTTTGAATTTTGCAGTGTTAGCAAGCCCATGTAAAGAAATTAGACTATGTTTAGGGTGCTAATAAATGTTGGCATTTTGGGCGAGGAAAGTGTGTTGGGCATGGGGAGGGAAGAAAATATGTTGCACTGATCAACTTCAAAAGTATTTTGGCTGCAAACCAGCCATGGGTAATGGAAATTATCTTGTTTTTTGCTTGAAAGTTCAACAAAATGGCGCAACCATTGCATCAAACTACTGCAAGCAAAGAGCAAGATACTCTTCCTGGGATAGTTAAAATGTTAGTATCTAGCATCACATGATATTAATGGTGCCAACCCATAGAAAATCATTGAGCAACTGTCTTACAATCTTATTTGGGTTGTCCTCTCTAAGTTTGGTGCTCTCGAAGATGGCAAATTTTACACCATTTGGAACATAGGGCATTATTTACTAAATGCTGTAACTGTGAAGTCATCAAAATCCAAACTAAGCTGTATGGGGTGTTTTTGGAGCAAAAACAGAATAGGATTCAAGTTATTCATTATCATATGTTTTCTTATTAATATAATTGTCAAGATCTCTTTGGCCAGACAGTTGGATATAATTCAAGATCTTTGTAGCTCTATATTACATACATATTTTGTGTTTGCATTCACATAGCACAGATGTGCTTGCATACACATAGCACAGATGCAAAGATATATGCATGCAAATCTCGAGTTTAGATTCGCATATGTTCCTGTTTGTAATTATGTCAGTGTGAAAGATGGATTTGTAAAACCACATCATTACATTATTCTGTGGACAGTATGGAGTAATGGAGAATGAGACTACTGAAACGAGCACATCTGGCTGTGGTAAGTACTCTCTCTCTCCCCCCCTGTTTTATATTGTCACCCACGTCCAGCATGCCTTTTACTGTTGTTGTTGGAGTTCTTTGTCCTGAAATTGGTTTTTATCCTTGTCATATTTTAGGGTCTTTGATCCTTGAAATGGGAGCATTGTCACGTTTAACTGGTGATCCAAGATTTGAGTCCGCTGCTTTGCGTGCTCTTCGTAAGTTGTGGAGCATGCGGAGTTCGTTAAATCTTCTTGGTACTACCCTGGATGTGGTGACTGGAGAATGGATAGAACACTCATCTGGAATTGGAGCTGGTATGTGTTTTATTTTGGTTGCTAGCTTGCATAAATTGTTTATAAGACTGCTATGGTCAATTTAGTAACATCTGTTACTCAAAGTAATCAAAGTCTATTTAATGTCTAGATCACTTTCAGTTTCTTATGGCATATTTCATATCACTTTTTTTCTTGCCCCTGCTTGTGTTTTTATCGTGGTACTTCTAGGGGTTGACTCATTCTATGAGTACCTTCTTAAAGCTCACATTCTTTTTGGGAGGGATGAGTTTTGGAGGATGTTTCAGGCTGCTTACATTGCTGTACAGAGATATTTTAGACATGGCCCATGGTTTGTCCTTTCTCCATTTTATTTAATTGCTGTTTTTGGATGTTAGTTAACTTTTTTCTTGTATACATGTCTTTTTTTCATTTTCTTTTTTTTTTAAACAAGAAAATTCTTTTTTATTTAATGGTTTTTTTGTTTGTTCTAATTATTCAACCTCTCATTGTTGGACTTTTCTATGCTCAGTTTTTCTTTTGACCGCCAAATTGACCAAAACTACCATTTTGGGAAGTTGACCAAGAATGAACTGATAATAGGTATCATGAAGCTGATATGAGAACAGGAAAATCAACCTATTGGCAGCTTACAAGCCTGCAAGCATTTTGGCCGGGTCTCCAGGTAACTGCAAACAACATTGTTGAGTGTGTTTTTGAATTGTGTAGTAATTTTTTATTTTCTGTTGGAGTCAGGTGCTTGTTGGGGACATTCCAGCAGCTAATTTGTCACACCGAGAGTTCTATTATGTCTGGAAGAAATATGGGGTACTGCCAGAGAGGTAGAACATTTTACTCTTTCCATGATTCATTTTATTGGGGCATCTTCTTTACACGTATGCTGGCTAGTACAAAAGATTGTCAGGAAGATACCACTGACATAGTATGGATGTATTACAATCCAGATATCTTTTGGATCATATGATGTTGCACCCCACAGAAAAATACTATCCTTTGCGCCCCGAGTTTGCAGAATCCACATTTTACTTGTATCAAGCAACCAAAGGTCTGCAACTTTCCTCAAATTCAGTTGCAGTTAGTATTATATCATTTTGTTACTTATGATAGTAAATATGCTGATATTCATATCCACAGATCCTTGGTATATGGAAGTGGGTGAATTGATTGTAGATTCTCTTAATCTATACGCTAGAGTTGAAGGTGGTTTTGCAAGTATTAGAGATGTGACGAGTATGGAATTAGAAGATCATCAACATAGCTTTTTTCTTTCTGAAACGTGAGTACTTTGAATTTTAAAAGCACAATACCTTTGGTTAATGTATTCTGGCCATAAACATGAACCATGTTCTTCAATTTTTTTTCATTTCTTTTTTTTTTTAATTTATAGGTGCAAGTATTTATATCTTCTTTATGATGATTCGTTTTTGGGCGACCGTAATTACATCTTCACTACTGAAGGCCATCCTCTGCCAGTTTTAAGCTCTTGGCGTGAGAAGCTTCCTGAGGCTTATATTCCAAGTAACTGGACGTATGTTAAGGTGCTAGTTCCACTCTCTATACTTCAATGATTTCTTTCTGCTATCTGATCTCACTGGTTTGTATTGTTTTCTATTGTATACTTCTGCTACTTTTTACCATTCCTTCTGTGTTCTGGTGTTTTGGAACATAATGAAATTTATATAATTTTTATAGTATTGTCTGAGTGTGCTGTTTCATTAATTGTAATTACAATTGTTATGCCTATCATCATAATTTTTTTTTTTGGTTAGTGTTCTATTTTGTCTTCTTTTTCATTGGAAAAAGAAATATAAAAGCAAAATCTTGCAGATTCTGGTTTGCAGCTGCATCTCAAAGATTCTGGTTCTCTCTTTGTCCTGTTGAAATTTGAATTCATTCAAAAACATAGTTGACTGTAGTATTAATAGTGTTGAGGGACATTATTCGTGGATTTTTCCAAAACAAATACCATCACTACTTAATAAGGTTCATTCACTCCATTGGTAGCTCATATTATGCGCTTCACAATTTTCCTCTTGTGCTCTTATTTTACATTTTATAATGTGAGAGGAGAGAACAGTTCTCCCTTTGATTTTCTGGGCTTAATCATCTGCCAAATGACAGAACTGTTGACTTCCCCCCCCCCCTGCACATCCCATCTGCTCCTAAGTGTCAAATCAGCAGCAAACTCACACTAGCCCATGGTCCCTGCCCATCAATTACTCCCTCATTCCACCAAAAACAAAAACGAAAAAGTTGTCAGGACAACCAGTTTCAGATATGTCTCCCCCAAAGTCTCTGCTTCTCTCCCTCCTCTTACACTTCTTGTTCCCCTTGTGCCAGATCTAATTGGCTGGATCTTTCTTTACATCTTTTCTTCCTTCCAAAGTCAAATATTCCCTTTGTCAAAATGTTAGACTGCTTATTGCAATTTGTAAGGTTTGTATTTTGACAATATGATTGATGTAGAAATGTTTTCATTTTTCCTTGAGTGGTTCTCCAAGGATGATAGCTGAAAGCTGCCAGAGAAATGGAATTGTGTAGTTGGCTTGTTGATTTGTGAGATGGCGGAGGACAGAGCACAATGATACTTGGGCATTTTTGTGAAAAAAAAAATGGAAAATGAGACAGTGGCTGCAAGATGAGAATATGCATAAAAACACACACGCACACAAAATATAGACAGGTAGACAGATAGATAGCACACAAATATACACACTGAGCAATTTAAAATGTTTCTTGCGTACCGGCAAAAGGATAATCAGCAATAATTGCTGGAGCAGAAGGCAGAAATGCATTTAATCGTTGCCTCATGTGATGGAAGGAAAAATGATTTATTAGGAGAGGGTTGGTGGGAAAAGTTACATAACTTATGGAGTTGGAGCTTTCTCCCTTCAGTGATTGGGCTTGAGGCCTCTGCTTGGTCTTTTGCTGGGGGGTTGGGCAGCAAATTTCTTGTGTCTGACCTCAAATGATGTCGGTACTTCCATATAAACAACAAAGATATTCTTAGTGTTAGCATCATGGAACACTTTTTTGTCACATGACTTCTGTATTCTGGGACTTATATGTGATTACTGGAGTTCCAAGTTTTGTCTGACTAGGTATATTGTCATGGTGCATGTAACTATTAATATTTTCTTTTGTTAGATGCATGTAGTAAATATTCGTTGGTTTGAAAACTTTGTGCAGAGTGAAGAGCAAGTAAAACGAGCAAGTGCAATGTCAATGCGAGTTTGTCCAGCCACTGCACTAGAATGCGGGCAGGGTCAGCCACGGGTGGAGAGTGCTTGCCACATTCCTGACTCTCGTGCAGACCATAGATGCTTTAATGACGATGACTGTGGTGTTGATTCCAGCAATTGCAGACGTAGATCATGCAGTATTGCTGGCTACTGTGGCCAATGGTTGTTCATTTGAAAACGTGAAGAACCTGCAATTTTTAAGCGAAGATTTAAACAAAGGTGATGTTGTTTAGTTTGATAAAAGCTGATTTCAGATATATGTAGGCTCACAAGTTGGTAAAGCATACACCATTTTGTCACATATCAGAAGCAAAAGAGCACATACACATGTATAATACAATGATCTGCAACCTGAACAATTTTGTATCATAATTAATAGAGCAGAAATTTCATTTCACAGCGTCTTACAGGCTAAGTGTACTCATTTGTTGCTGTCAGGAACTAAAGAATACACTGAGAAGAATGAATTAGTCAATTTCAACATCTTCAATTCCCCTGTTGACATTTCATTATGTAGTTAATTACTGTCTTCTCTTATCTCCTCCTTTACTGTTGGATGCTAGCAAGTATGTGCCTTTTGATTTCCAGCCTTGTAATCCAACAGATGTCCATCTTTCCGTTGAGTTTATTGGAGCTCGTCTGCCACCAATGAAAGGTGAAGTAGCTACTCAACTCTTTTCAAACGAATCTTTTGGTTTAAAATGCCACAGTTATGGAATTTGAAATAACCAAAATAGCTAGGAGCATTGTAGATCGATAATGAAACTTGTGTAATGCACGTGAAAAAATAAACTGATGAATTGTTTAAGAATGACAATGAAGATTTATGTTCAAATAAGAAATAACATTACTTTCATGTTTGAGCTCAACTTGTCATCAAATATGCTTTGCTCGAGCTCGAACTTACCAAACTCTTGGGAGAAAAAGGCTCAAAAACTTGAGTGCAAGATTGATCAAAGCTTGTTTTCAGATAACGCTCAATGAAAATGACTCTAAGATAAGCAATAACCGAATTCCAAATTTTAAATGCTTCTACCGTTAAAAAACACTATGCACTAAAAAAATAAGTGAATAAGCCTACAACCAAATTCTTGCGTCGTACAGAGAAACAACCCAATACGTCCCATGTTGGGCCAATATGAACAACAAAGTTCAATCCCTAGATGATGCACAATTGATGCCTAATAATAAATTCATCGAAATTATGGCCTCTTTGTTAATTTTATCTCTTTCCAAAAATTTTCCCTGCATTGTTTTGCGATACTTGTGAATTATGAATTATGAATTAGGATTATCAACAAATCAAATCAGTTAAAGATTCATCTTGATCAAACATGAGTCTAGCTCAAGGGGTTTCTGAAATTCAAACCCCATGCTATTTCCTTTGAAAGGTAGTTCAGAATTTCGAATTTTGTTTATAATTTTACATTTTGAATACATATATATGTGTGTGTGTGTGTGTGATTTCATATATTTAATATTATTCATGAATTGTCTCATAAGTTGCTCAATAATCAATTAAAACTTACCATGACTAAGGCAAAATAATATTAAATCAGAGTTTCACTTATAGTAACCTACTTTTGTCTCCCTTATTTCTCTTTCACTTCTCTCCTTATCCAACCACCAACCCTCAGTCACTCACCCATGGCTACTCTATAACTTCGTTTCTGCCCCAGCCACCCATCTTCCTCCATCCCTCCCCATCTGCTCCTTCGAACCGAAAAAAGCTTTAAGCCAAAAAATAGATTTGCAAGCAACCGAAGCATAAAAAGCACAGCAATGGAAAACACAAAATGTTCTGAAATAAACATGTGCAATCATGTTTCTCGATAGTTCTTTATCAAATCTGTCATAAAATAGAGAATGACAGAATCAGGAGAGTAGCAGAACTATCATCATAAAATGCAGACACAACCTGAGCAAGTATATTGAATTGAACTGCCACTTCTATTTCCATTAACCTTATTTTGTTCACGCATTGCCAAGGTATGTTCATTCAATAGGAAGGCAAATTAGTTGCTTTTTTTTTCGCCGAAAGCAGGCTTAAAACCAAGAGAAAATCGTTGATGAACCATTATTGCCTTTGGGACTTATTGCAGCGCACAGATATCTTGAATTCTGCAGTCTATGGGAAAAAAGGGAATGCTTTAAAGAGACGCAAACTTCAACAATTTTGATCTTACATATTTTCCCGCAGTGATAAAAAAAAAAATTACAAATAACGAGTTGGCATGTGCTATTATAAACGAACCCATGAATCATCTAGTTGGTAAATTATCACCAAGTGTTCTATGATTTTTTTTTTTTTTAATGTAAGCAGGAGAACTCGAACCCGAGACCTCTTGCCTACACTCTCTCCCCCCACCATCCAACCCAACCCTCCCCCTAAGTGTCCTATGATTAAGTTGCTCAATGATCATAGTAAAATTTGTCGAGAAAATGAGATGTAATGCCCTCTTTGATAAATCAATTCATTACTTAAAGTTAATGGATTCAAAGTTTAATATGTTCAAACATGTTTAATAAACATAAAAAAAATGAACATCTTAATTAATTAAGTAGCTCTAAATTGTTTAAGTAAAACTTACTCAAAACTTTAAGTGAAAAATTGTTCACTTATCATTTAATATAAAATATATTCAAATGTTAAGATTTCAGTACTTAATAATTCACTAAAGTAATAGATTAAGATTTCATACTTCATATTTCATACTTCAATGTTATAAAATGCATGTATAATTTTGCAGCTTCACCTCAATGCTGTTGTCATGTAAGGCGTACTTCGGCAGACTCAGCACTTATAACTTACCCCAAAACCTAACTCCCAAGTAAAAAAAAAAAAAAAAAAAAAAAAAAGGGGGTGCCCAAGTCATAGGTTATTATGTGAGCGAGATCTAGGACATAGTTTGAAACAGTTACTACAAAATCAAAGGTTAATCATGGTAAATTTTTCTTGTGGTTCTTTTTTGAATCTTGGCCTTTTTGTTATTCTTCCTACATTTTACTCCAAATTTTTCCTCAAGTAAACTAATTACATTCACTAGTACCCAATATATTAATATTTCCTCAACTATTAGTATATACACGTATGGGTCTAAATGCATGCCACGTCATTTCACTTTGAATTTTAAACATCAAAATTTGTAAATGTGTCATGCATCTAGACCTGCTACTATCAATACATAAAAGATTTACCCTTATATATATACCTATCTTAGCAGAGCAATAACAAAAGGGTAGTGCATTATTAAAATTTTGTGTTATTCCTTTTTTGGATTTGGAAAAACTTCAATAGGAAGATTCAAAATTAATGAGAAGGTGTAACACCAATACTTATTCTAATATATTCCATATATTATTAATATATGAAATTCGAAATTGCGCCAATAATAGTTTAATAATAGAATTTGAGAATCCAATTTCAATTATCATTCCAAAACTGTTCTACCAACCCCTAAAAATTGGATATCGTTGTACCATATTAGATGTCAGGTCTATACTGGTTTTGGCCCTTTTTTTTTTTTGTCCTAAGTTCCATTTCTCCCAATTTTTTTGCCCTTTGGTGTAATCAGGTTACAAAATAGTGTAATACAAGTTTAAATATGGTGTAATTGAGATGAAAAATAACATAATAAAATATGAAATTACTAATTCATCCCAAATATAGCAAAATAGAATTTGGGAGGCCCCGGATCCCAACCATGCCCTAGTCCTTAGGCATCCCTTAACCCTCAACTCCTCTATGAAATAACATACCTTATTTTACAAAAAAGCTCCTCTATGAAATACCTTATTTTCCAGCAACAAAGCTTGTTCATTTTCTGCAGAAAGAAAAGTTTAAAACTTGCAATGGATGTCCGCCGAAGGCTTCTTGGACGAAAACTGATCTCATCTTCCCACAGCCTCCTCCTTCCGGAACGCTTTCATCACCGTATCAGTACTGTTCCATGTTGCAAAACAATTCCATGAAGGTTTAGATTGTCCTCTTCTTATAATATGTACTCATCATCTTCTTCAAGCCGTGATTCTTATCCATCGAGTCCATATTTCCTGAAACCAACTGTAATGGTTTCTACGGTGTTGAATTCGTAGAATCCAGTTTTTTCTTTTCAACCCATATTCTCCGCAAGACATACTCCTTCCAACCGCGGGTGGTTTGGCCTTAGAAGCCCTCGTGATTGCTCCTTGTATCTTTACAGGCATGGAAGTCGAAGGACATTGAACTACCTTCGATAGAATCACCTCCTTGGCTTAGCCGCATGAACGAATGGACCCGTTTTCGGAATAATTAGACAGAAAGAGTGATAGCAACTGTTGTTCTGAATGGCCCCAATGATTCTTGGGAATACTGAAACTCCTGATGTTTTGAGTCAATAAATTGTCAAAAATTTGGTGTTGTCATCAGACCCTATGGAGGATATTGAAAACTGCATAGTAATGGCAGTTCAGGGTCCTCCTGAAGCCACCAAACTTGCCTTCTGAGACCTGCTCAAGACCACAAGTGGACAGTCTAGGAGGATTCCAACCCCTGTTTCTGATCCGCTGGTGTATTCTGATAAGCACAAGACATTTTATACATTTGGTCTTGAAGAGGGCATTATTGAAGCTTGGGACTTCCCTCATAATCACTCCAATCAACTCAAGAAACGGACTTTGGCATATAACTGGATTTGTCCCACATTCAGGCCACGAGAAAAGTACTCGAGGGATCAATGCAAGAATAGAAGAGACTTGGTAGTGGATGAGCCATCGGGGATCTTCTATTGGTTATCAAGCATTATGCTGAACATATCTGTCAGGATGGCACCATCATCGATGAAGATCCTGACGATATCTTCCCCTAAAAGACCCTAAGATTTGATGTTTGTTAGTTTGATTTTGCTAGTAAAAGTTTGAAATTCTTGGATCGGATGCTTTTTATCTACAGTTTAGAATGAAAGTTTTGTAATGCACTCTTTCATCTTCCCTTTTTATCTACAGTTTGGCATGAAAGTTTTGGTTTCCCCAAAAATTTAGAAAGTGATACTCAGAAAAGATGATTAATTGTTAAAGAACGAAAAATCCCTGCAAGCTTGTTGGCTTAGAGGTACAGTTCAAACTCGCCTGTTGACTGGATTAAATTGACTCCATTGCAGAAGACATGAAGTAACTTCCTTGTTTTATAAAGAAGGGTAGAATTACAAGTTACCTCTTGATTGGATGTGGCCACACTTGTAATTTGCGTTTGATAAAGTTATTACACTTTTGAATGATAGTCCTCTTGATTAATTAATGCAAAGATGCATTTAGGTTCGTTTACATAATCCTACATAAAATACCCCCATGCTTTAAACTGCCATTCAATCTACTAATCCTTCTCATCACATAATTTGCTCAGCATCTTTTATTGTATTCAACACCCCTTCATAGCAGCCCAACCGCAACAATACTCCAAACATGTGTCTGGCTATCCTCACAGCTAGCGCCGAGGCATAAATCCAATACCCATTATGTAATGCACCTCAAACTCACCAGCAACCAAGCAGGCAAGCACATTATGAGCCGCCAAAACTTTGTAGTCCATTCACCCAAAAACAAGGGAATAATTCCCAAACTATTAACAAGGATGTTCATTTCTTCTTGAATGGCTGATTTAGCTTTGACAATGTTATAAAGTACAAGAATCTTATCAAATGCCTTTCACCAACAGATGGGTCACTAATTAAGCCTCAGTAAAGGACTAACTCACACGTTCAACTGATTTGCTAGCTGTACACTGGAGGCAGAGTGAGGGAATATCCCTGAATCACTGGAAGCAATTCTCTTTCAGCTTGCTGAGTTTGAACTCCAAACCGGCTTGCTTGTTTTATAATGCTTGAGCTACCATTCTGTCCACGTTAAATCCCAAGCTCAACAGTCTGTTCCCCTGCCACTGGCCTAACAATTGTTAACACAAATTGCAGAGAATGTTAGACCAGTATGTATTCTTAATTGCAAAAGGATCACAATAATAAACCACCTTAGAAATTCAACGTGTTCTAGCATTTCTGGCCAGATACACTAGTATTACACATCTTGAAAATATCATTCACCAAAGTTATCTACCTTTTCAACAGAAAAAAAGCACTACAACTACAATCTACAAGTACCTCGCTGAAGCAAATTCAAGCATATAACCACTCAAAACAAAATGACACGAGTCAAAAGGAGAAAAAACTTTTTAGCATGCCAAAACTAACCATAAATGAATTTAGGACCCATAAGAGAAGTGGATAACCCTACTCATAAAAGGAGGTCTGAACTTCAAGTGCAATTTCACCTTCCCTAGCGCTCTTATACATCTTAAAGTCCTACTGAACTTAAATCATTTTTAACAGCAGAAGAAACAAAAACATGCATCAGATTTCCTGCTCCAATCCAACAGTCCGCTGCTAGTGGCTCGGAAGGAATTACTGTTGATTGACTTGTGCACCTTAACCATTCATGGGTAGAAAACCTTTAATATTAATTCAAGGTTCTGAAATACTTTAAAGATACTTCAAAAATCCAAACAAAAGACATCTGCAGAGTATGTAAAACAGAATACTAGAACAACCTCCTCCTGCCCTGACTCACTCATTCTATAATGATTAGGCATGATAATTAGAATGTACAAGTTAAAAAAGTTACTGATCTGAAACTCCTCAAGTCCATCAACTTGGATCAAAAATAAATCTGGATTTGTTTAAAAGGTGAAGGATGTTACCATGTAATACATAATTTAAAGAGGTCCAATGATGACAACCATTTGTAGCATCAGCAGTATGCTGAAGTTCTTCTTTCTCAAAGAAGAGAGAAGCTAAAATACAGAAAGAACTAAGATCTCAGAAGGATAATGGGCTACCAAGAAAAAGGCAGTAAAGTTCAGTTTATTGCTAACTGCTGGAAATAACACTAAAATCAAATGCTATTGGTTTCTCATGATACCCTTAACATAGCCCAAAGCAGTAAGCAAAAGGTAGCTGTAGACCTGGCAGACATGACACCGACCAAATTATCAAAACTCAAAAAGGCAACTCTGTTTTGGCTGGTCAATATTCAGTCAAAAGAAATAAATCTCAACCTTCTAATATGCCAAGCTAATTTTAGGAGGTATGCAACAACTGATCGTTGAGTCATTTTAAACAAAAAGTTTTGTCAGTCCAGTTTAAGGTCGCACACATTTCAGGAGTAGGAATGCAAGAGAAATTTGAATCAAATGATAAACAATTTAGATGAATCAATAAACCCGACTAAAGGCCCAGAGATAATCAAATAGCACAAATAATCAATTATTCCCCAAGTGCTATCATCAACTCTTATGCTCAGACTTTACCTTTCTATTTCAGGACCAAAAACTGTAGCATGTTCAGTTAAAAGGGACCATTTGAACAAAAGTGTTGAACAACAGAATGACAACAGGGACAACTAGCGATAAGGTAAAATCTACACAATTCCTACACACTCTAAAATGACTAGTCCAACAACAGCATTTCTTTCAAGTAGAACAGGTTAATTAGGGAAAGCAGCTTTTAAACACCAAACTGACGCATAATTTCAGAAAAATAACAGATTTTCAAGTTCTCTAGCTGCTTTCAATGATGTATTTCAATTTAGATGTGAAGTTTGATGTATAAGTCGAAGTAGGTTACATTCCAATTTTCATGAGTTTTTATACTTCAGCTCATGCTGAAATAAGCCATAGGGTGCATAGCAGAAGTCTTTTTCTTTTTTTTTTTTTTGACAAATATTCGAAATTCAGAAATTTGGTCTTTTTGCTAGAAGCTGTCCAAGTCCTTAGAAATGGAGGCCACCAGCAGTAGTAGTCAAGCCCAAATTGCCTTCCTTCAGTTTTGAGGGTGGTAGTCAAGTCCAAAATTGCTTCCTTTAGTTTTTAAGATTTTAGCTTTCTTAGTTGTTGAGTTCTGGTCCTTTCTAAGAACTCTTCCACCCATTTTGAGCTTTTAGCTTTCTTAGTTGTTGAGTTCTGGCCCTTTCTATGAACTCTTCCCCCTAAGTCAAGTTCTGTCCATGAACATAGGTTGTAATAGCTTTAGTAAAAGATCCAGTGTGCTAGCATATCGTCCACACCTAATTTCATTGCTGAAACCTAAAGATCCAGTGTCACGAATTCTGTTAATCCTCCCCTGACCCTAGCATTATAGTAAGGACTAACATAATGAACATTAAAAACTTGAAGCAGCTCATTAAGGATACTTTTGAGCCGTGCTGCTTTAGTTGCCGCACTGTATCTTTAAAACATTTGAAAGCTAAGATTACTATCTCCACTTGAATATTTTTGTCTCTTCGTCCAATACATATTTGTCACTAATCTCCATGCCCACACCCAAGTACCCGCCAACCACCCCCCTCTCATTTTGGGTTCAAATCAAAATTCCAGAAGCAATGAAAATTTGGAGTGCTAAAAAGCAACAAGAATTAGCACCAAGAAACTAGAATACTTACAAATCTCTATAAATTTTTCAGTCACATCGAACGACATGTCTGTTATACAATCAGTAAAAGGCAATAGTTATTAGAAAACTGCTATGCTAGCTTCAACTAGAAGAAGACAGCTGATTCATTATCATATCTTCCTAAATTTTAAGTTATTACCCAGCATATAAAGCACACTCAAGGATTACAAGCAAAAATTCAGATACAAACAGGGCAAGGATCTTGCTCTTCACAGACAAATTGATGGAAACATTTCCACATTACATAAGGTGGAAGAAACAATTTGCCTATGCTATAGATAACCATCATAATCTAGTTCACAAAAGTCAAACCAAATATGACAAGAATTACTGTCCTTTTCCCTTTAGCAAATCAATTGGCTTCAGATGTAGTATCACAACCAAAAAAAAAAAACATTACTAGCCTTACATAAAAATTCCTCCTTTGGCATCTTAACTTGTAATTACATTCACAACGAGCCTCATAAGAAAGTCTTGATCCCAAGAAATTTAGTAACCACCTTTTTGATGATTGTATAGAACCCCAACATTACCTAAATATGAACCGACAAGCAAGCATTTATTTCTTTAAAATGAAGTCACAAAGCATTATATCCATAGTACCATGCAGGTTACAGATCAGCGTAACTATTATTCCAAACTAAATTCATGGCCAAAGAAAAAGTCAAAAGCAAAAATGCAAAGTTCAAACAAAAATAAAAAAGGTAAACAACAGAATTTATACAGCAACAACTAAAAATCTTGCTTGTTGTTCTCATATGAATTCCACTAGCGAAAAAGCAGCCGTCCACAAAACATTAACTCAAAATTTAAGCTCAATAAGTAAATGGAAAGAACTCTCCCAACAATACCCTGCACCTTGCTGTTACCATCATTCAAATGCAAATTGATAAACCCCAACTGAGATCTAAAGCAGCACCAAAGAAGATTACTAGTTACGAATCGTAAATGATGAAATTAGCTAAGTAGAACTCCACATGGTGAAGCAAACAACTATATAGAACTGCTACACCTATCTAGAACTGCTACGACTGAGACACAGATTTCAGTTTCCAGACAAAAAAAACTGAGTCCCAAACCTTACTCAAAACATTTTTATGCAAATACAATTCTTAATCTTCACTTGGAATAAATATTTGAAGCTTGCAATCCTAAAAGAACACACTCTCTCTTAACCTGAATTAGTTTAAAATAATAAAGATCAGATTCGCATTAAAAATTACTCTAGTTGAAATTACATACAAATTCTCACTCACACTTAAAAACAAAGGAAACAGCAAAAGAATATTGGCAAAAAGTACCTTGAACTTTGAAACACAGTATCAATCGAGAAATGCTGCATCTCATTACTAGGAATCAACTAATAACCTATGTAGCTTGGATCCCCAATATACTCTGCAATTTGCTCAAGGCGAACATTATGCAATTCATGTGAATCAGCATCCCTAACCACACCTGTTTCCTTCTCTGTATCCCTTTCCACTAGACTTCCATAGACACCCTTATGTTTACCATACAAAACTAAAACCGGTCCTCCACGCCTTGGAAGTGCTGTCTCCAGTAGCTCCTGATCCACCTCTTGTATCAACTCCCTGTTCTCATCCATAGATATGTCACAAGTTGTTGGCCCAACCACATCCACAACCTCCCCTTTTTTCAGGTACAATCGTCCACCTTTTAAATTCTTGCTTACAATCCTCACTCTGATATGGTTAGTCAACCAGGATAACTTATCGCTACCCTTAATCTCCTCCCTTCCCCTTTTACTATCCTTCTTCCTATCTTTCATTTCTCTATCTCTACTATCCGTCCAACTGCTTACCAAATCTTTATCCCTACCTTTACCAATTTTCTTATCACTAACATCGCTTTTCTCTCTAATCCTCAACTCCTTCAGCTTCCTCAAACACCTCTCCTCCTCAACTGATCCCAAATCAGCTAAATCACTAACATAAACACTTACATCCTCCTCACTCTTTAAAAGCCTCAAAATTGCAACTTCCCCACTGTGTTTCATCTCAAGTATCCTACCTTTCATCCCAACTTCCCTTCCACCCACAATCCTCACTTCTTTCCCCACATAAAAGTCCTTTTTGTCCCTTCCCTTCTCCTTACCATCTCTGTCACTTCCTTTCCTCATACTATTATTAGTCCCACCACCATTTTCACGATTGGCTTCAGCTGGTAATTCCGGTAATCCACCAGTAAACCCTAACCCTTCCTTACCAGTTCGTTTCTTTAACACCACTATATCCACATCCTTTTTCGCATTCTTTCCGATACCCTTGCCTTCAACCCAACCATACCCACCTAACAACGCCCGACCAAATCCCTCAACGGGCATATCCTCAAACTCCTCAAACCCAGCATCCTCCGGTAACCTCTTCAAATCCTCCCTCAATTTATGCAACACAGGATCCTCCTTAGATGCCGAACCAGGAAATTCCTGTGGGTTCGCTCCGGCCCCATTACCCGAATTACGCAGATTAAGGCCATAGGACATACTCTCAGATGTAGGGTCAGACGGGCCAGATTCAACAACTTCAAATTGGAGCATCGGTTGCTCTTGAGCATCAGATTGGAGTGGGAGCTCGAGGTTCTTCATCTTCTTAGTCGGCCTCCATTCGTTGGGCTTAGGAGGAATTACCCGATTATCCCGGTTTTTGGCGGTTGGGGCCTTGGAGGAGTCGAATTCGGTAACGAATTCTTTTGACTCTTCGGCGTCGGTGGCGGCGGCAGAGAGCTTCTTGAGGGTTGAATTTTGGGGCTTTGAGGAGAGGGAGAAAGAGAGCTTCATCTTAGCAAAGAATGAAAGAAGATTCTAAATTAAAATCTCCGATCCCGCAAAAACCCCCAGGTCGAGGCTGCCAGAAAACCTGCAAATAAAGGCGAGGACTACCCACCGATGACTCTCCAATGCAATTGGAGCAGTAATTTTGCCTGCAATTATATAGGGTTTAAACAATTTCGGTATTTTCTTGGCTAATCAAGAGTGAGAGGAGGGAATAAAAGAGAGAATTGGAGCAGCAGCAGCAGCCGCTTGGCGGATGTGCTTTCTTCTTGGTATGCCCAATTACACCGACTATGATTGTATTATTTTCTAAAAAGAAAAATATATTACTATTATTAAGAGGCATGTGGAATTAGGGGTGAGCATTCGGTGCAAATGCGGTAAATCGGTGCGCTGAATTCGGTTTTTTCGGTTATTGCACCTATAGAAATCTAAACCGTTTTCATTTTTGAATTGGGCATTACCGAATTCATGCGGTACCCGATTTCAAATTCGAAAACGGTAATGAATTCGGTCTAACCGAATTCATCTGTTATGTAAAAAAAACCCTGAAGCAAATTAAGAGAATATATAAAACCAATCTTTATAGTTCAGCAACTACCAACCCCCGCAAGCCATGAGAAAGCTACAAATATTAGACTGAAAATATGTAAAGAAGCTAGACACATGTAGGCCTTCTACTGGTTTGTAGTTATAAAAGCTAAATTGCTCTCTTCGATATGTTCTAGACTTGCTCCAATGCTTTCCATTACTTATTCAGGAGCTGATTACTTTTATTGAGCTTATTAAGGTGACCTTTCTGCTTATTTATACATAGAAAGTTTCTTCTTTTACACATTGCAGAAAATTCATATCCAGAATCCTAGGTACAACTTCTGGAGCCGTATTTTCACTAGATGTGCACCAGAGATTGAGAATCTCCACGGACAAGGAGGTAAAATTTTCAGTTTAGCAAGTTTTTTCCTTTTTAATTTTTCTAACGGGTAAAAGGTGGAATTTTTCCCCAAGGCCGTGACTTTTAAACGCTGCACAACTGGAGAGAGCTTTCTTGTGTATAAAATACAAAGCTTATGTTATATCACACCTAATCTAAACTACAACAGTTAGAGTTTGCAAGTGGAAGCTCAGATTTCGTCCCCTTATCAATTCAGGATAACAAATTTCCTAGTCGATCTTGGCCCATTTTAATGCCAGAGACACAGAGCCAAAAACAGAGGAGCACTTACCTAAGCGAGCCAGAGATGAGCAGTGATGAACCAGCGATGAACCAGTGAGATCTTGGTGCTTCGTCTTCGACACTCGGCAGCGATGAACCAGCACGGCAGGACACAGCCGACAGGAGACGTAGAGTGCGGCGGACTGGCGGATGCCGGAGAGGTGGAGAGCAGCTTCGATTTGGGAATTGGGACTTGGGACTTGGGAGTGTTAGTGAGAGCCCTAGGCGACGGCAGTCACGGCACTATGCAATATTGCAAATTTGCAATGGTTGTTTTCTCACTTTTCATCAGCTGAAGATGAAATCCGAATTTTCCCAAATGAAGTGATTTTGTAATTTTTAATTTATAAATTGGGGCTCCTAAATTATAATACATTCATTATGCTCCTCAATGATTTAAACATTTATTACTGATTTGATCCCCAAATTTATTCATAATTAAACACATTACTTATGTTCAAATCATTTTGTGGTTTAATTCGCATTTATTTGATCACTTATACCTAAAATCCTTAGTCTATGATTTAAGAAACACATAAAAAGTGATTAATTTAAACTAATTTAGTTAGAAGTTATAATGAATTTATAATTTACACTGATTAATAATAAGTAATATTAGTTACAAACTTACAAATTACAATGAATCAATGATTAGTGATAAGTTACATTAGTTATAAACTTATAATTTATTTCAAATCAAAATAAAACTTATTTACTTGATTTGCAACTCACATGCATTCACTTACACTGTTTAGTTATTTTGTCTATACTTAAAACCTTAAGATTAGTAAATAGATAATATAAATTTTAACTTATTTGATCACTTATACCTACAATCATTAATCTATGATTTAAGGAACACATAAAAAGTGATTAATTTAAACTAGAATAAACCTTAGACTATACAATGATTAGTAATAATTTATGAATTTATAATTTACAATGATTAATACTAAGTAATATTAGTTACAAACTTACAAATTACAATTATTAGTGATAAGTTATGTTAGTTACAAATTTATAATTTATTTCAAATCAAAATTAAACTTATTTACTTACATATGTTATTGTGAAAGTCAATATACTAATACATTGATGTGCATTTCATATACATTCACTTACACTGCTTAGTTGTCTTATCTATACTTAAAGCCTTAAGATTAGTAATTATGTAATGTAAATTTAGAGTACAATAATACTTGCAAGTTATAGATTATGCATTCAAATATTCAATAATTCAAATATGAATGATGTATCAAATTACCAATATCTAAATTCTAATTACTAATTATGTTTATTGTTTAATATTTAGTATTATACATATATGTATTAATTATTATCTAATTCTAGTCATGTTAGTATGTTACTCATGTATAAAATAATTAGTTATCTTATATTGTAATGTATTACTATGCATTATTGTAGTCATATAACAATTAATAAATACTAAAATAATATAAATATATTGTACATTATTATATATTATAAGTATTATAAGTACATGATATGATGATAATATCATTTACTAATTATTATTAATCATTTACCTATATAATACAATAAAGTATTAGTAGTATATACTAATACTAAATAGCATTTATCTATATATTATATAATTTTATATATCAATTTGGTATTCGAATGCGCGGTAATGCGGTACCCGATTTCAATTACCGAATTTTGAATTCGAAATCGGTTATTACCAAATTCATAATCTCGTTACCTATTTTATATCATATTAGAATTCGGTGAATTCGGTATGTACCGAATTGATATCGAATTATCAAATACCCGATTTTAAATTACCGAATTAAATTTGAAATCAATTATGAATTCGGTACAAACTGAATCTGCTCACCCCTATGTGGAATAGAGGGCATTAACATATAAATACAATTCCGAGCAATAATATTGAATTAAAAATTAGTTTCTCGGGGCACTAATTGTTTAGTTTGCTATTAATTGTGTAGTTTGCTATTTTGAACACTGCAACTTCTCCTTTGTGCATGGAGCAGGTAATTTGTGTAGCTATACGCTAAGCTCAAAATGCACTCAAGTTAGTACATAAAATAGAATGGGACAATGAGTTTCTTGTATGGCCGATGGATATTACTAGAAAAGATATGAGAGCAGTTGGTCCTTTTTGTAACTAATTCTTATACTATCAAGTATTAATATATAAAAGTACTAATTTCGTTTATTGGAAAAAAATATATGACTTCTAATTGTATGATAGTGATTAGATTTAACGCGTGAGAGAACTGTATTTATTTTATGTATCATTGTCCATTATAATGAAAATTCATTATCTTGAGTTTATAACCTTATTTATACAGCAAGTTTTGATAAAGTATAGCAAATAATTATACAATGACAAAGGGCTCCGTTTGGATTAGCTGTTTTGAGGGATGTTTTTGAAAAATTTTACTGTAACGGAGTTTTTAAGAGTATATTTTGGGATATTTTTAGAAAATATTTTGGAATATTTAAGAATAGTAGAGTTTTTAAAATATATTTTGAAATATTTTTTAAATATTAAAAAAATTTAGACTACTTTTTAGAGCACCTTTTAGAGTTGCAAAAGAAGTAGATGGGTAATTTAAAGTCAAAAAGCAAAGAAAAGTAATTAACACCATTTCGAATGGCATTTCAAGACAAGCGCTCGTCACCAACCCAACAAATCTTGTCTAATTTCCTTTTCCAATCTATCTCCCTACAAATAACGAAATATCCAAATTAGTTAAAACTTATTCAAAATTGTTTTTTGGAAATTCACACGAAACAAATTGAATTTCTTTTGAATCCAAAACAACAAAAGAATATAGGTACTTTCATAATAAAAGGCATGCTATATTGGCTTTGTTTGGATAGAGTATTATTTCAAATAATTATTTGGAATAATTATTGTAACACTTTTTATGATATAATGCATGTGAGATAAAAAAGTGGTTGAAAATATAAGGCCCTGTTTGGATTGCCATTTTTTGCCAGAAAATTACGTCGTTTTTCGTGATCACATTTCCCTATTAGCTTTTTTCCTCACATACATCAAATCGCTACAGTAATTTTTCCATGAAAAATGACAGAAAATGCAATCCAAACAGGGCCTAAATATGTGAATTGAAAAATATGTTTATGATACAAGTGAATAAGCAAGTATAAATACGCAACCTAAAGCAAAGATTAAAAAAAAAAAAATCTTCTTCTCCTTCCTTCATTTGTTATTAAAAAACATACTCCCCACTTATTTCCTTCACTAACTTGACTGTCGGTGGATATATATGAGAGAAAGGTCTCATACTTTTATGGGTTATTCAAGCAAATAAGGAGCAAGATTATCAAGTTAATCACAAGTAAGTGTAAGATTTTGCTTTTATACCTTGGCAACCAAAACTTTTGTTGAGTATTTAATACTGCAGCCGGTGACCGAGACCTTCTCCTCCTTACTTCGTGCAGAGATCGGTCCAATTCCCGAAATGGTGACTGTCACCACAAGACCCTCAACTTTTTACAAAGCATTTACGTGGGCCAAATACAAGAAAGCTACGTATCCTCGACGGCTAGGAAGTGGCCGTCTCAATCTGTCCAGGTTCCGACCACCTATCTGGAGCAATGTTTTGAAAATCGGACCGGACCGGCCGGTTCGACCGGTTGAAACGCGAACCAGCCATGGCACCGGTCCGATTCAATGACATTGTTGACTTTGCTAGAAACCTGGTCAAAGATCGGTTGAACCGTGAAAACTGCCGAACCGGTTTGAACCGGCGATTTTTCGGTTTTCAGCTTTCCCTTTTTTTTTTTTTTTTTTTTAGTTTTGCAAAATGCAACAATCAAGATTCGAACCCAAGACCTTTGTAATAAAAGACCAATGTATTAACCGTTGCACCATCACATCTTATTAGTTTTTTTTGATAACTTATTTATATAAAGCAAATACTCATATTTCTTTTTTCCATTTTTCTTACAAAATCTCATCCCCTCATGGCTCTTTCTTTTTAATTTTCAACTCTCTCTCTCTCTCTCTATCATCTTTTCTTTTGTCACTCCCTTTTTAATCAAACCTCTTTATTTTTAATTTATTAATGTTTTCTTCCATCTTTTAATTTTGTTTTTATCCATTAAATTGAAAAAAGTTAAAAAAGAATTTTTTTATCTCAAATTATTTAATGCCACAACCACTCACTTTTATCTTATTTTTTGTTTCTTATCAAGTTTACATTTCTATTTTCGATTTTCTTGATTTCCTTCGAATTCCAAATTTTCTTTTTTAAATTGCAATATCTAAATCTCAAAACGTAAATTAAAATTTAAATTCATAATATCTAAATTCTCAGATACATGAATTTTGTATAATTTCAAAATATTGTGATATTTTGGGGTTGGATTTAGATATAATTGAAATTGAGATGAAATTTATTTGTTTTAACTTATAATTTAAAAAATTTATTTTTAAAAATCCAAGTTATTAAAAAATAGTAAACTTTTCATCATATAAAATATTAAATTAGTCCATTACATGTCTTATTTTGTACATATATATATTTATATAAATTATTTTTTAAAAAATTCATTGAACCGAGATTGAACCGGTCCGACCGATTGAACCTTGACCCTTTCACTTCACCGGTTCAATTAACGGTCCGATTTTTAAAACATTGATCTGGACCCTCATAAATTTGTATTTCGTGTAATTTCACATAAGTTGATTTTTTTTGTATAAATCAATAGAAATTCTGTACGAATTAGATTTGATTTGATGTAAATCAGGTACACCTTAGTGTATGCTGATTTATTATTATTTGAAATAAATTAGGTACATTTTGGTATAAGCTAATTATTATCATTTAGTATAAAGTCAAAGCAATTTGGTGTAGATTGAGAGTAAATTGTTAATTCACACCAGCTTTTAGGTGAAATAGAACTTGTGTGCAGGGATAGCAATGGGGCGGGGGTGGGACGGGGGATCCTTCCCCTGTTTTCCGCTCTGTTGTCAAATAACTCCCCTCGTCCTCCGTCCCTTGCCCCCCCACCCCAGTCCCGTTTCTCCTGCGGCCTCCACGGGAAAAAAATCGACTTACCAAAAGAAGAAGAAGAAGTGATTTACTTGAAAAGAAAAAAAAAGAAAAAAGGGAAAAAAAAACATAGTCCAAGGAGAAGAATATGCAGCCGCTAGTACAAGGAAATAGCCTGCTAGTGAATCCTAGAGAATATCATCGAACCACTGAAATGTGGTCTCAAATAGGTGCTACACAAGAGATGTCAAAATCCAGCCAGAAACAAAAGCTTGAGATGGTTTCAGA